TTGACCGAAAACTCCCCAACGTCACCCAAGAACCATATCCATTTGTCTCTCTCATTACTTAATGTTAATAAAAATAACGATATTGTATTAGACAAAAACAATAAAGTTTTAAATTTTATAATAAAGTTTAAAGCTATAAAAATCAAATCTTTATTGATCAAGGTAGTAACTTTTAAATCCAGGATTTAAACTCCAAACTAACATAAACCATACAGATCGGATTTATCCTTCGCGATAAATACAATTAGAAGAAAGGGGTAGAAACAGACTTGTTCACTTAGTGAACAAAAATTAAAATGAAATACTGAGAAAATTAAAACCAACCTGTTAGAGATGATGATGAAACGAGATTTGCACGGTATAAACCTGTCCTTAAAGGTTTTATACGACCACTCTATAAGTTGTGAGTCTACCAGTAGCAAAGCCCTGGATTTGATGCAGTCACGATTTTCGTTTACCAACGAAAATAGAAGCAAGGTGGACGCAAAAAATTGTTGGTAGAAGAACACAAATTGCAATAGAAATTCGAGAGAAAGAGGGGCATAATTTTTTTATGTGTGTTTAGAGGTGGTTTAACCCAGTATTTATACTGGTTAAACCCCCCAAAATCGCGACTTAATCCCCAAGTTTCTGGATCACGATAGAGACTACGTCTCTAACCGAAATTAACACGTTTTATTTTATTTTATTAAGATTAAAGTTTAAACTTTGTAAAAATCAGATAAATAGTGAATAATCTGTTAAAACCCAAACAAATAATTACTGACAATTAACAGTAATTATCTATCTCTCTATAATTTGTACTAAAAAGATACTTGAGAGCTGGGGGCAAGGCTCTCTCTACTCCAATGCGGCATGCAAAAGTAATGCGACATTCAAAGATGCACCTCCTCCCGTCACTCTGTGAATCACTCTGCCTCAGCCTTAGCTATGCACGCGTGCACGTTAGGCCTTCCACTCATGACCCCCACTACGAGTCCATCAACTTGTTCAAGGTTTAATTGAGAGAAAAGCCTATTTATAAGGCTCTTTACATTTATTCTACCTACCAATGTAAAACCTCCAACCTCACTAATATTTCCAACACTTAATGATCTAAGATTATAAGCCAAGCCTTCTAACTCCTCTATATCGTTTAAAGCTCTCTCTTAACCACAAGAGTGGTGCCTGATTGGTTTGAGCTTGGCTCCAAAGGTCAAAAGTACCAGGAGGTCCCAGGTTCAAATCCAAGGAGAAATAAAAATCCCCTTGTGGCCACGGAGGTTTAAATGCGGTGACTCCGGGCTATCTGCAAAGCAGGTGGTCGCCCTGGGATTAGCCGGCTCGCATAGAGATGTACAGACAAAAACTTGGTTAAGCTTGATAATGCACCATATTTGAATATAATAAAAGATAGAAAAAACATTAAAGTGCTTAATAAAGATTAAATGATACATGAGGTATCAATTAAGATAACCTTAAATATAATATGACATAAATATTTGTTACATGAAATTAGTATTATTCAAACCTACAAAATCAATATAAGTTTGTGTATTTTAAAAAGACGATTATAATAATATAACTTTTATATAAAAATATTAATCAATTAATCATTAGTTATAATTTATGTTAAATAACTTAATTAAAAATATGATAAAAAATAATGTAATCGTTTAGGGGCCGTTTACCAATACTTACCTGGGTAAGTGTTTATCGGCAAAATTAAAAACTATCAATTACTTACCGGGTAAAATATTAGTCCACCAAAACGGTATCGTATGCAACAATTAACCCGATAAATGCTAATCATGGTAAGAGTCGTCGCTGTCACTTACTGGATAAGACTCTCAGTCTTTGCCTTAGCTCTTACTGGGTAAGATTCTTGGTACTTGCAATTTTGATTGGATAAAGTAATGTGATTTGGTAAACGCTTATTTTGATAAGCGTTTTGTAAATGACCCCTTAGTGAAGTCTTTAAAAGTACGACCTGCACATAGTTTTTGTAGAAAAAAATTGTTAAAATCCTTTTTATTTTATTTTATTTTAATATAACTGTTGAAGATGTTATAACTGAACTCTTCAAATATTTCACTAAACTTATAATGAACCAAAATTGTAGTTTATTTCTTATGAGTGGATTAGTAGATGTTTTTTAATTTAAATTTAATATTTTTATTCACTTTTTTAATATAAAACAATAATTTAAATTTAGAAAAAACATATTTAATTTCAGAGTACTTTTTGTCCTTTTGACTTAAAAGAATGACACCTTTTTCTAGTATTTGATGCGTAAGCTGACGTGTAAGCATAGGAAGAGCGGAGACACGTAATCGCATTAAATAGGGCCTACCTTTTCGATTATTACCTTTACTTCTCAAAGATCGTCAAAAACTATATTTATTATAATAATATTAAAATAAATAAAATGAGGTTTTTTAGAATTAAATTTAAAGACTGTTTGATAATTGTTAAATTGTTTGGTACAAAATGATTAGAATTATTAAGAAACTCTCATGATATAGTGTAAAATAAAATATAAGTGTTTGATAATTGTGTACAGTAAAACTAAGGTTCTTAATGATTAAGGGAGATTCATGATACAAAATCATTTAGAGAGTTTTAGAACCATTAAGAAACATATTTTTTTTTGCCAAACAAAATTCACTTCTTAATAACACAATTAATAAGTAAATAAACAACCACTTAGAGTTACTTTATCCCGATTCTCTTCTATGCTTTTTTTTCACCCTTTTAGGTAAAATAATAAAATACACTAAATCCAATTTATTTTATTTTTTAGTTTTAAATATTTTAATGTTTTTGGTTTTAATTCTTCAATTTTTTAGTATTTTCTTTTTATATTCTTTTTAATTTT